AGAAGAAATTAGGGCTAGTGAAAGAAGGCAGAGGCTATATAGTTTTGCTGTGTGAGGGTTCCATATTCCAAAGTAGTATGTTATTTAGGTAGAAGGAGATACTAATTAAGGTCATTTCTTCAGTCACATATTCTAAAACCTGTATTTTTTCAGCAGCTGTAGGGTGGTGTTCTATTTTACTGTTTATTTTTATGTCACCCCTGACCATGATACAGATATGTAGAACTTGCCTTGTGCCACAACAGTATGGGCACAAGGATAGGGTGTAAACACCATGCTTTCTATGCCTGTATTATTCCCACCTTATGCTGCCTTCTAAAACACAAACTTTTTAGTTGTCTATTCTAATAATTTCAAAATGCATTTTATCATGGCTCCTAATTTATTTCCTCATTGGTAAAACTGACTCTCAGAATTTTATAACAGGTAAGTTCAATAAAAATCTTCACACATACTTTTTTTTTATGACTGAAAGCAGCTTAAAAGCATTTAAAAGATTCTTACAAAGAAACATTTCATTATTTCAAAATGAATGGCTTAATAATTAAAAAACAGTCCTCACAAAGAACTATAGTTGACTATGAATAATATTTATGATATTTTACTCTTGCTTTTGGAGGGAAAAAATACTAGTTATGTTCTTTATTTGATTCAAGTTTTCAAAAGCTTAAGAAATAAGCATTTATAAACATAGTAAACTAAAACTGCAACAGTAACTGATCCACATGATATTTAACAATGTGAAGATATTTAAGTAAATTTTGTTCAAGCAAGAGAAATGTTAATAAGCATTTATTCTACAAACCCAGACAACTTCAACCTATCACAGCATTTAGAAACATTAAATTTTTATTAGCTTATATTGTTTTAATGTTTTTGGCCATTCTATTTGTCAAGTTTTTTCATATTGCTAAGTAGTTATTTCAAGAAAAAGTTTCAAGAGATATTAAGACTTTTATGTCCAAATTTTGAACTTGTAAGCAATTTTTTGTCCTTTCTCTAAAAAGAAAGACCCTACTATTTGTTCTTCCCTCTTCCCTAGGGTCACTGACTGCATCAGAATTGACAATAAGCCATAAAAGAACAATGCTTGATAAGAAATGTACTCATTACCTTGCTCATGTAATTGTAACCCCTCTGTATGGTATTTTCACAAAAAAAGATGAATTTATATTTGAAACAATAACTGAATGCTTCGTAGAATCTCCTCTTTAGTTTGAATCTTCCAAATTTAGAATCTACCTAAAGAGCCAGCTCTTATTTTTTATACTAAGGAAAATAAATTTTTAAGGCCAGGTGCTAGTGGCTCATGCCTGTAATCCTAGCTACTCAGGAGGCTGAGATCTGAGGATCAAGGTTCAAAGCCAGCCTGGGCAGAAAAGTCCATGAGACTCATCTATAATAAACCACCAGAAAACCAGAAGTGGTGCTGTGGCTCAAGTGGCAGAGCACTTGCCTTGAGCTAAAGAGTCAAGGGACAGCACCCAGGCCCAGAGGTCTAGCCCCATGACCAACCAAAAAAAAAAAAATTATACTAAGGAATGTGATAGGTTTTAGTAAGAATATTAAAAACAAGGTTCAAGCTTCAATAGCAACATTTTAAAAAGCTAGGAGAGTTGAGAATAGCAACTTAATTCTCTTCAGTAACACTTTTTAAATAATCTTTAAAGAATGTAAACAGTAACACTGCACAACACAGAATTTTATACATTAGGATTTATAAAGATAGTATCTAAAAAGTTCTTCAGATAGCATACTTGTTCCCTAGATTAAGCCATGACCTAGATAAAAAGTATAAGTTATCTATTCCAAGCTTACAGAACTAATATAAGAAGACTGAATGAAAGAGACTATTTTCTGTGCTGTCCCCTTCAACTCCAGTGTTCTTTCTAAAATTAACTTGTACTTGTTTTTTGACTAGGTGACATTGTCATAAAAATCAAAACAATGTAAAAATATTTGTAGTAAAAATCTGGCTGTTTGGGCTGAGAATGTGGCTCAGAGGTAGAGTGCTTGCCTCGCATGCATGAGGCCCTGGGTTCGATTCCTCAGCACCACATAAGCAGAAAAATCAGAAGTGGCATTGTGGCTCAAAAGTGGTAGAGTACTAGCATTGAGCTGAAGAGCCAAGGGACAGCACCCAGGCCCAGAGTTCAGGTCATGACCGACAAAAAAAAAAAAAAAAAATCTAGCTGTTACTTTGACCCCTGTCCAAATAAACTCAGAAGATTTTTACCAGTTTCTAATATATCATTTTCTTCTTTTTTTTTTTTTTTTGGTCAGTTGTAGGGCTTGGGCGCTGTCCCTCAGCTCTTCAGCTCAAGACTAGCTCTACCACTTGAGCTACAGTGCCACTTTCAGTTTTTTGCGTAGTTTATTAGAAATAAAAGTCTCATGGTCTTTCCTGCCCGGGCTGGCTTTGAACCGCGATCCTCAGATCTCAGCCTCCTGAGTAGCTAGGATTACAGGCGTGAACCACCAGCGCCCAGCTCTAACATATTTTCAAGATTAAGTATACCATGTTCCTTATTAAAATAAAGCAGGTTACATTATAATTCCTAATGTTTTTCTTTATATCGCTGATCTCAATTAAATATGACATAAATAATGTCTGACTTCAGTTTCTCCAAGGCAACAGGAGTTAGTGGTTTAATGGCTATAAAGGTAACAACTCTTAACTCCACCAGCAACATTGAGGCAAAAGAAGTTATCTTTTCTCTGAATATGTGAAATAGTACTGTTATGTCAATTTTATAATACACTATAAAATAATTTTTTATAGTATACTTTGGTTTCTTTTATAAGATATATAGCACATTTTAGACTTTTTTTTTTTTGCAGGGAAGCAGTACAGGGTGGGGTTTGACCCAAGAGCCTCCTGCTTGCCAGGCCAGGTGCTTTTCATTGAGCCTTGCCTATGTCAATTTCATCTTTGTTTCAATAAAAGAATTTCTTGTCAATAAGACTTTATAACATGATGGTGCATAATCTGAGTCACTTCAGGATTTAAAAAGGTACTCAAATGTGGCCTAAGAACAACATACTTTTACTTGAGTGATCCATAGACATTAAGGAGATAGCTTTTGAGCTCTACCACGGAAGGTTGGTTTCAAGGAACAGAGAATATATCAGGAAAATAGCAGTCAACATAAGGAGCTTGGTATTTTCAAAATATCAAAGCAGGGAACCAGGAACTACAACCTGTGGTCCAAATCCAGTCCATACCTGCTTTGTACACCTTGCCAACTACCAGTGTTTTTTACATTTCTATATAGTTGAAAGATAATCAAATGATCATTTCATAACACAGTGAAGCTCCCTGAAAGTGCTACTAACACTCAGCAGTGCCCACTCATTTACATGTTGTCTAAGACTGCTTTTACACTACACAGCAGAGATGGGGTGTACAGCAGACACCATGTGCATTACAAAGCCCAAAACCTTTACTACCTGGCCATTTTAGAGGAAGTTTTGTCATTTCCTTCCCTTAAGAAAGCCTAGATAGCCTTCTTACATATGAAGGGGATAGGCAAATAGTAGTGAGAAAAAAAGTTGGAGCAGACATTGGTAGGTGGAGAGGAGAATTTAGATCCCATCTTTAGAGTAATGGGGAGGTGCTTTGACCTTGACTGCCACCCATTTCTGTGCCCATCTGTCTGCCATCTCTGTTCCAACGTTCTTGCAGACATGTCTGAGGTAAGAATAGTATGCTTCATTCATTTTTCAACATCATGAGTACCTTGTGCACCACGATTTTCAGTACCCTGGCTAGTTTCTATGACAAAGTCAAGAGTGGCAATGGCACCCTACCATGTCCGTTATGAGCTAGAGCTGATCATGAAGGGGATGCTAGTGAGGCATTGCCCAGCAGCCTTTTGTTTGTGAGCATGATCCTGATCCTCATCTTTGCCCAGGTGCTCCATCTCTATAGCCTTTTGATGGCTGTCATCATCTCCACAAAATAACCCCTCTCTGAGCCCACCAACCATAGAATATGATGTAAAGACCACCCCTCCTAATTCCAGAACACACAAACACACACACACTGCCCACTTTGTAGTTGGTCTTGTAAATAGGCAGTATCCGAGTACCCATTATTTGTGGACAAACATATGGGCCCACTCATCATCCATCCAGATCTCTGACAAGTAAGGATGTTGACCTCTGCCCACTCTGTCAATCACTGTAGAGTGCTGTGTATAAGACTGAATTAAGAGTTGTCATCTTTCTCTTCAATGGATGTTTGTTCATAAAAGGATTTCACCTGTTCATACATTTATGGAGTAGCCCTATCTCCAAACTATATAGTAACTGTTAGTAGAGTGCTGCTTTGTGAGGTCTTGTTGCTGAGATTACTTATATGGAGCCCCTCTCCCCCTCTGAAGGTGAGCTGCCAGGCCCTGGAAGAGAGCTGTATACAATAAATTCCTCAGATGTGAGAGGAAAGGGGGGGAGGGATGGGGAAACTATTAAGAATTTTAAGTAGGAGAGTGGCAATTAGATTTGCATTTTAAAGGTCATTCTGGCTGTTATATCTACATGTTAAGAGAAAAAAGTGAGAAAGAGAATGTAGTAAGTAATTCAGGAAAGAAATGAACATACCTTGGACTCTGGAGGTAAAATAATGAGGTTAGGCAAGATGATTTCCAACGTACAGGGTTGAAAGTCTGGTTTTTGCTACTTTCGTGGGCATTACTAATTATCATAATTCTCAAAATTATCATACTATGAACAGATCTCCAATTGGCAAAATAAGTTAAAATATGCCAACAGAGTAATTATGCATCGAAAGCAATCAAAAGTGATTGCATAATGCCCCTCAGTATAGTACTTTATAAAATATGGTTTATATTTTTGTAAGCTGGAAAGGACTTTTATGACATTTACATCTTAAGAATATATCACAAATAAACAGTAAAGAGTATAAACACAAGTATATTTTGAATATATTTCCATTGTGCTTTTTTTCCCTTGGTGTAGTAACAAAAGAAAGAACATACCTGCTACATTCTAACAATGTAACTTTAAGACGGCCTTCTGTAAGTGCCCATTGTTGTATATGGATATGCTCTTCATCTTCTTCAAATCCTTGCAAGGTTTGGTATGGAAAAAACGGCTTAAACCTAATAAAAAGCAAAAAGAAGTCTAAATATCTGAATATATTTGTATTTAAAAAAAAAAAAGCATCTACAAAAGCAAAGCCTACCACTCTTTCTCATAACTGGCAGTAAATGGCACCTCTCTGAAGCACCCAGGAATCTGGGTTTTGTTGCATATCCCCACTGACAAGGCAGGCCATTCAAAACAAGAAGTGGATAATCTAAAGGCAGCCAGTAGGCCCTGAGGTTTGGATGCTAAAAGGGAAGAATGTTTCTATAGTTTAAGGTAAAAATTCAGCCGTATTGTTCCACAGAAACAAAATAATAACGATTACTACATAATGATAATAATAATAGCAGTAGTGGTCAAGAACAACAAAGGTATTCAGGGGACATTTATTTGCCATGCAGTGGTTAATGGCTTCATGTGCTTTATCTTTTTTTTAATATATATTTTTTATTGTAAAGATACTATACAGATACATGAGTAAGGTAATGAGTACGTTACCTGTCGAGCATTGCTACCCCCACTTTTGTTTTTCCCCTACCATTCCTTCCTTCTCCACCTCCCCAACTCCTCCCTCCCTCCAGTTGTAAAGTTCATTTTCAATATAGTGTTTTGTACATCTCATCGTTACAATGGGTCAACCTGTATCCTTGTTTCAACATTTGGTTATTTCCCTTTCCCTCCCCAAATTAGAAAAATGTATATACAAGATGCAGGACACCAGAATCAAATACAGTAAAAACAGGTTATATTATGGGGGAAGAACATACAAAAGAAACAAATCACTTAGTACATTAAAAACAGCAGAAACAAAGACACATACTTTATCTTAATGTTCACACTGCAGAGCAGGTGATATTGCTAGTACCCCTCTCCATATGAACCTTAGAAAGGTTAAGACACTACTAATCTTTGAAAAGTGGCCAAACCAGAATTCAAGCTAGTCTAACTCCATCAAGGCCCAAGTTATAAAACATCTTCTGTCTATGAAATACTTGAGTCAGTTATGTGTTCATTATTATTACTCTTGATTTTTTTGTTTTGTGTTTTTTGTGGGTCCTGGGGCTTAAACTCAGGGCCTGGGCTCTGTCCTGAGCCTCTCTGTGCTCAAGGCTAGTGCTTTACCACTTGAGCCACAATGCCATTTCCAGCTTTTTCTGAGTAGTTTACTGGAGATAAGTGTCTCACTCATGGACTTTCCTGCTGGGCTGGCTTGAGCCACCATTGCCCAGCAATTACTCTTGTTTTTATAGACACACTTGTGTTGAATTATAAATTGGAGGCTTTAAAGTAACCTTAATTTTAAACACAACTCATACTCCTCCACTAAAGCAAAAGCAAACTGGGCTTTAGGTTTAGTTTTCACTTCACCCTACACATGGGTACTAAACTTGACATCTGCCTGCATAAAACGTTCTCATGGCTTTCCACTGATGACCAAAACAAAACAAAAACAAAAACAAAACACATACTCAGCTATACTTGATTAGCACACTAGCCTGACAACATGGCAAGACACCCACCCACACCCCATATGAAGTTATTGGTTTCACATTCAATGTATATTATAATTAACCTTTCAAATCATATAGCCTCCTGATTTAAAAAAAATTTTTTTTCAGCCAGCCATAGTGGCTCACGCCTATAATCCTAGATAGGAAGATTGCAGTTTGAAGCCAAACCAGGAGAAAATATTAAGTGTAACAAGAAGGGCTTGGCTGGGGCTGGGAAGGTGGCTCAGTGGTAGAGTGCTTGCCTTGCATGCATGAGGCCCTGGGTTCAATTTCTCAGCACCACATAAGCAGAAAAAGTCAGAAGTGGCGCTATGGCTCAGGTAGTAGAGCACTAGCATTGAGCTGAAGAGCTGAGGGACAGTGCCCAAGCCCAGGCTCCACTACCGACAAAAAAAGGGGGGGGGGGGCTTGGTGGAGTACACCTGTCATCTCAGCCATGAAGAAGGGAAAGGTAAGAGGAATGTGTTTCAAGGCAAAAAAAAATAGTGTGACATTATATCAAAAACAAGCTAAAGCCAGGTTCAGGGCTGAAGCCTATAATCCTGCCTCTCAAGGCAGAGATCGGGGGACATCACAGTTTAAGACCAGCCAGGCTATAAAAGTTTGAGACTCTATCTCAACCAATGACTGAGTGTGGTAATGTTAATCTGTTACACAATTGTTAGGGCAGAGGGGTGTGTGCCTGACATCCCAGTGACAAAGCAAAGTACAAACAGGAAAACCACAGCCTAGGAATAAAATGAGAACCTATCTTGAAAAATAACCATTGCAGAAAGGGACTGGGAATAGTAGCCAAGTAGTAGAGCATAGTGAATGTGAGGCTATGAATTCATAACCACAGTACCTCCAGAAAATAAGTAAAATAGAGGGAGATACTTTCTGAAAAATTAATGGCAAAAAAAGACTGTAGCTCAAGTGGTAGTCACTGGAGGTAACTCTCACTATATAATCTTCCCTTCAGGCTTTTGGTACTGGAAGTTTTCTTTACTCTTTAAAGCCTGATCAACTCCCATGCACACATACACACATATATTAATCCTAGCTACCCAAAAGAGGGTGAGATCTGAGGATTGTGGTTTGAAGCCAGCCAATGCAGGCAAATCTGAGAGACTTATCTCCAGTTCACGAGCAAAAAGCTGGAAGTAGAACTGTTGACTCAAGTAGTAAAGTGCCTGCTGTGAGTGGAAAGAGCCAAGGGAGAGAGCAAGGAGCCTGAGTTCAAGCCTCACTACTGGCACTAAAAACACAAGTAGAAAAATTAGTATGTATGTTCTGCTACTGTGTAAAATCTGTAGATATATGTATGTATGTGTGCATGCATGCGTGCGTGCGTGCGCTCCGCTTTATCTTATAGTCATTCAGGTCTTGAAAGCTGCAATATGACCTAGCTTCACAATTCTCTATACCTCTCACATACCTGGATAGAGTGCTTTGCCACTTAAGGACTTGAGTATATATGGAGCTGATTTATAAAAATCTAACACTAAGTAGGAAATACGATATTCTCAGAAATATCTGAAAGATATTGATAGAGGGAATGCTGTTTTATGGTTTTTGAGTAAACTGGATTAAAGGAAAACACTTCTGAAGGAAACAAATAGGTGCACAGATGGTTGGTGCTTTGTCCTTTTTTGAATGAAGAATGCAGAAAGCCCCTTAGTTTCTCTACTACTACACTAATTAGTAATCATTTGTTTCAGACAGGGAGAAAACACAGGAAATTTACAATATGAATTTATATCACAGATGAGTGTTTTTAACACACAAGCCTTACCACTCCTGAGGAACATACAAAAATCTGTCACTCTAGGCTAGAGGTGGTGAAGTATACCTATAATTACCAAGCTACCTGAGAGGTATAGGTAGGAGAATTACAGACCAAGGCCAGCCTAAGCAAAAAGCACACAAGATCTGACATGGAAAATAACTAAAGCAAAAAAGGGCTAAAGATGTGGCTACAAGTGGTAGAGTGTTTGTCTAGTAAGCACAAGGTTATGAGTTCAAAGCCCAGTACCATCAGAATAACAACAATAAATTAATTTTTTATTGCTCTAAAATTTTAAAAATATCAACAGGATGCCAGGATTTCACTCCTACAATTCTAGCTACTTAAGAGGCTGAGATCTAGAGGACTGTAATTCAAAGCCAGCCTTGTTAGAAAAGTCTGTGAGACTCCATCTTCAAAAATGACCAGCAAAAAGACATTCTAGAAGCATAGCCCATGTGGTAGAACACCATTTAGGCAACTGCCAAGGCCTATTCTTTTTTATTTTTTTACTGTGCTAGGGGATTGAAGCCAGGGCATAATTATGGTAGGCAAGCTGCAATCCCAACCTTTAGATTTTGGAGACAAGGTCCTAAAGTATGCCTCTGTGTGTGTGTGTGTGTGTGTGTGTGTCCTTTGGATTTTTGAGACAAGGTCCTAAAGTATGCTTGTGTGTGTGTATCCTTGGGATTTTTGAGACAAGGTCCTAAAGTATGCTCTCTGTGTGTGCGTGTGTGTGTGTGTGTGTGTGTGTGTGTGTGTGTGTGTGTGTCTCCTTTGGATTTTTGAGACAAGGTCCTAAAGTATGCGCACGTGTATGTATGTGTGTGTGTGTGTGTGTGTGTGTGTGTGTGTGTGTGTGTGTGTGTATGTGTACACGTGTACAGTGCAGCTTAAACTCAGAGGCTTGAGCTTGCCAGGCTATCATTTCAATCACACACTTAGAGGGAAACAAATGAACAAAAAAAGCCTATCTCAAATACAGCCACAGATGATTTAAGGCTTCAAACACACGAATCTGCAGAAAATAAAAGGAGACAACTGAATCAGTAACAGAACTCAGTGTAACTCGAGTTTGGTCTATAGCCCACGAAGTTGATTTTTTTTTTTTCTTTTGCTAGCTCTGGGACTTGAACGCAGGCTCTGAGCTCTGTACTTGAGCTGCTTTTGCTCAAGGTCAGCACTCTACCACCTGAACCACAGCTCCTCTTCTAGCTTTTTAAAGTAGTTTATTGGAGATAAAGAGTCTTAAGGTCTTTGCTATCTGTGTTGGCTTTGAACCACAGTCTTCAGATCTCAGTCTCCTGAGTAGCTAAGATTACAGGTGAGAATCCCCTGTACCTGGCTGAGGTTGAATTTTTTAAACCCATTTTCTGCTTCTAAATCTAGAGTAAAGGTACCTGACAAGGAAACTTGTGGTTCTGCATACATTAATGTGCTTGGTTCTCACAATAGTGTGATAAGGAAAGGGTTGCAAATCATTTTCTTCTATCACACAGATATGGAATAGGTCCAGGGAGAACACAGAACAAGAAAACATATGCCCACAAAAGGAGAGCTTAAAACAAGAATGAAGGAAATGAACCTGACAAAAACTCAAGGCTCTATCTGAAAAATAACAAAATAGGGCCGGTGATTCATAGGGGAGAGGCCCTGAGTATAGCTGTATAACAGAGAGTATAGTATAGATGAGGAAACAGAAGGATAACTCATTCAAGGATACACGGCTAGTAAGTGG